GAATGCACAGGAACAATAGAGCCAAGGGGAGTATATTCCTCTGGGTAATGACTGTCCACACCAGGAGGTAATAGCCCGACTGTCATCCCTCAGATCTGACAGTCTAGGACCAAGCTTCACCCCTTGTGTTGAACAGCTGTAATGCTCATGTTGTCCCCTGGTGTTTCCTTAGGCTGGGATGTCTATGAGACAGGACACCTGTCACAGGACACCGGGAAGTCGACACCTGCAAGGCACTGCTGGGCAGGGCGAGACAGAAGTGAGTGACAGTTCTCGGGGCTGCCTCACCGTGCTTGGGAGAGAAAAGGGGGGACTTGGACCGGGTCGGGGTCTCGGGCCGGGGAGCCACCAGCTGGATGGGGCGCACTTGCTTGTCTGCCAGCTTGCGCAGAGAGGTCTGGCGATTCTGGATGGTGCCCCGCATGGCGCCCAGTTTGTCATGCACCCTGCCGATCTCAGCCTGGGGAAGAGAGAGGCCGACATCTCAGCAGAGCAGACAGGGGAGAGAGGGGCGGCGGGTCCCACACTGCACTTTCAAACACCGAGACACGGGGATGGGGTCACGCAGACATGAGCACGCACAGTCCGACACTGGGGTCCGTGTGGCCTGACAGCATGCACAAGGCCACGGGGAGTGAGCAATGAGCTGGGGGGAAAGAGAAAAGTTACAGACGGCAACCTAAAATAAAACAGAAAGACCAACTTAAAATAAAGAGAAACGACCAAAGCAGCTGTCTTGATTCGGTGTCTCAGGAATCCATGGTGACGTATCTGAATTCACGGGACAGGGACAGGGCAGGGGTGGGAGTCCTGACCCAAGTCTGACCCGGCGATGGGTGTGTGTGCATTGAGAGAGCCTGCAACGTGTGTGTGTCTACATGAAACAGCAGCGGGTCTGTGGATCACATGGGTCTGGAGTATCGGGGCTCTGACACAGGGGAGGAGCGTGTGCTTCTGTGTGTGTGCTGTTGAAGTGATGGGTGGGAACCTGTGGGTTCTGCGAGATGTGTGAGCCGAGACAGAGCCCAGATCTGGAGCCAGAGCCGTGACGTCGGGCTTGTCTGAGTGTTCTGAGGAAGGTTTTACCTGCAGCTGGGGAGTGAGAATGGACTCAAACTCCAGCGTCAGCGCGTCAGGACCACCGCTCAGGGGAGGGGGGGTGCCCTCCAGGAATCTTTCAATATCCCTTAGGGCCGCCTGCGCCCCCTCCTTCGACTGGAACTTATCAACCTGCTGGTCAGCCAGGAGGTAGGCAGCTTCATGGCACCAGCACATAGCCTGGGGCAGAGCAGACAGACATGTGGACACTCAGGGACAGACTGAGAGAGACACATGGGGCACACTCAGGGACAG